TTCTTGTAATTTCTCACGCTTTTTTTAAAATTTACGTACCGATTTAACCTCACAAACGTTGCCGGTTAAATGTGCAAACGTTCCCGTTTGTCAATGGGAATCGGAGAGCGGCATTGCTCTGCAGTTCTTCATACACCTAAAAAATAAAATGAGGAACAAAAACATTTTTAAAAAAAATCGACGTAATTATACTTAGCCCAAACGGAGGTTTAACATTTGAGGGCAATAATTGTTCATTCATTTAATGCACAATTAAGTAAAGGGATGTGGCAGAATGCATTAGTGGCACTTAGAGAAAGCCGTTGAGGAAATATTGGCCCGGAACAAAGTGATTAGATTTGATTGGACTTGCCAAGTAGCGGAAACGCGGAGCTCATTACGTGCCTCCGAGACGGGAGAGTAATCGAGTTCAACAGGCCACACCCTGCTGACGAGGCAATACAATCAAAAGCGGCCCAAGGGACTCCTTCCTTTGATTAAACGCTCCCGGAATACATTGACATAGGTCCATAGGCGGATGGATAGTAGTTATAACCCCCGCCCCCCCAAACAATATATACATGCCTGTCAAGCTACTACTGAACGAAGGACCCTACACACAATGCCTGTTATGAGGGTTTTTTATGCAAACTTCACCACGCTGGTCAGTTCGAATTCGTGAATGGGGTTTGCTGTGCCTATGGAATCAATATTCCAGTTGCTGGTAGCGCCTGAGGTGACTTACTTTTAGTGGTTCCAATTCCTTCATGCGGCCATTAACAGTGAAGTATGCGATAACTATTACTGGTAGGAACGAAGTTGTAAACTGAGTGTACCAGCCTGCAATAGATTAATGTGTCCGTCCGTCAGTCCCCTTTCAATACTTTAACGAAGTGAAATCTCGTGCTGTTGGGTGTATAATTTGTCCGAAGAACCCTCAACGATGTTGAGGGCAAAAAGGTGGGAAGACGCTCTCAATTTGCACAATTTTACGTAACAATGTCGTAAAATTGCGCAAAATTCCAATGTTCCTACCAGCCCACCCTGCAGGGACCTGTTATAAATGAGTGGGGCTCACTGCTTTGTAGAATTGTCATGCGTCTTTCTTCCAGAACACCGCAGAGTTTCCCGACTGAGAAATGTGCGGGTTTGGTCTGTGGGAATGGTGGCGTGCCGAGTGTGCAGTGGCATGGCAGGAATTAAGCTTTTTTTTCTTGGTTCTGTCGGTAAAAAAACTCGATTTGGTGCTTTCGTGACTGCAGGAATTAATCTTTGTTTTTTTTCCGGTAAAGTCACGTAGAAATAAGAAAAAATAAAATTACATAATATACGACGTTTCGATTGCAACACAAGCAATCATCATCAGGTAGAGGAAACACATAACCGCAGATATATATACAGACCTTAAGTAGAGGGAATTAACACAGATATACCAGGGGATACAAAGAGACGGAGCATCACACTAAATCAAACAGGGTTTAGCAAAATTTGGAAACTATGTAACAACACAGACGGTCGGTTAAAACACAATTAACGCATGGTCTGGTTGAATACACTATTTCAAAGATTGTTAAATTGTAAGTTAAGTGTGAAATTTAAGATAGTGATAGAATACATACCGTAGAGAGACCTATGGGGGGAAACGCGCACACAGTTAAGAGGTGAAGCAGCTCTGTACCGAGGCTTTAAATAGCCAGATGGAGGGACTGGGTTTCAGAGACAATGGGACACAAATTAGCGTGTACCCAGCCCCCCACCTCCGGAGCGGAGGAGGGGGGCTGGGTACACAAATAAGCAGAACACAGTCAAGGTGCGCTGCTCTGTCCTGTGTTGCGTTATAACTATGCTATAAACTGGACTACTATACAATATTATACCTTCCAATCTAAACTACATGGTATAACATCATATCCATAGACAAATTCCACCTTTGAATTATACAATGCGTTACTATACACTACCCTATACTTTAGACTATAAAATATTAGACTTGCAATATGACACTGTCTTATTCTATCAACCCTACTGTATACCACACTGCTGTATATTCACTATACAATTACGATACTATATATTTCCTTATGAATTATGTTAAACATTACAATGTTCTACTATTTATTATTATACCACATGCTATAAACCATACCATTGACCGTCGTGTGAAAGGTATTAAGAGGCAGTGCCAGCGAATGGACTGTGGTCTGAAGGTCACCGTAAAATAGAATCAATTAAGAACCGTAATGGTTTATAACATCTTTCCAATGGTTACTAAGCCAGAATCCATCTTCTCGGTTGAAATTGTCTCTGTGTTTGTATATGACAATTTCAACCGAGAAGATGGATTCTGGCATAGTAACCATTGGAAAGATGTTATAAACCATTTCGGTTCTTAATTGATTGTATTTTACGGTGACCTTCAGACCACAGTCCATTCGCTGGCACTGCCTCTTAATACCTTTCACACGTCGGTCAATGGTAGGGTTTATAGCATAGAACATTGTAATGTTTAACATAATTCATAAGGCAATATATAGTATCGTAATTGTATAGTGAATATACAGCAGTGTGATATACAGTAGGGTTGATAGAATAAGACAGTGTCATGTTACAAGTCTAATATTTTATAGTCTAAAGTATAGGGTAGTGTATAGTAATGCATTGTATAATTCAAAGGTGGAATTTGTCTATGGATATGATATTCTACCATGTAGTTTAGATTGGAAGGTATAATATTGCATTGTATAGTAGTCTAGTTTATAGCATTGTTATAACGCAACACAGGACAGAGCAGCGCACCTTGGCTGTTTTCTTTTTTGTGTACCCAGCCGCCCCCCTCCTCCGCTCCTGAGGTGGTGCTGGGTAACATGCTAATTCATATGCTAATTCCGCCCACACAGCTTAAAAGACGCTGTCCATGCTTGGCAGTGTTCACTCAAGCGCTGTCTTCTGGACAGTCCTGTTTCTTCACCTGAAGAAGGCTACTTGTGTTGTGGCCAAAACGTCATGAGAATTTTATTTTTATTTTATTTCCATTCTACGTGACTATACCGAAAGAACCAAGAAGAATCCCTGCAGTCACGAAAGCTTTAAATCGAAATTTAAGAATTAAGCTTTACTCAGCGGTTCCCCGTCTCGTAATCAACTTAATGCTTGCGGAAATCAGTTGAAAGCCTCATTCGTTCACCGCACGGGAGACACGGATTGAAATTGGGCGTTTTACTGCCGCCTACTGCTCAAGCCATCAAACAACATCTCAGTAATAGCAATTTACACTTGTCGGGTGCATTCCATCCGTAAATCCTAAGGCGTCGTGTACGGACCGATTGAAATAAATAGAACCAGGGTAAACGGCCAGAACTAAGAGGGGTAACGTCAAGTTTCAAATTGGCGAATTTTCAGGGCAGACTTAAATAGCTCAGAGGGCGGCGTCGGTCTCCGATGGGGTTCGTGTTGTTACCACGTGTTGTTGGGCACGATGTCCCGACGTTTCGTTCAATGTGTTTGGGACGCCTCTTGAATTCAGTTCCTGAAGAAGCCACCAGATGCTGCTACTGTTGTTGTCTGCCGGCGGCCGAGTCACTTTTGGAAGAAGAAAACGGCTTCACAGGGGCTCTCAATGGGAATTTACTCGGGGGAAAAAAACTTCCCACTTGGATTCTCGCACCACGTGGCGCAGGCAGAATGTCGGGGGCAACATTGCTGCAGGATGCGCGGGCGCAGCCCCAGCACGTACACGCCCGAGATCTGGGTGCGCATGACGTTTACTGCTCCCCGGACATTTAGTCGTTGCAGATGAATGCAAGTCCAGCTTAAATGACTGCCACTCACACATTTATGGGCAATTCATAATTGAAATGTACGTTCAGATCCTTGGTATACTGTATACCCCGATTCAAACGCACACAGGGTGTTTTATTGACCAGGTGAGGGTCCATGCAAGTTATAGTTCAGATTTTAAATGAATCCTCGACAAACCATACCTGGGTACAAGTTATTTGTTGTACCGGTACACGTACGGCCATTTTTTCAATACAATGGTCGGTGGGTGAATGACTCCCCTGCGCCGTGCGGATAAGCGAGCCTTATTCGAGCATACTTCACCACGTTGGTCAGTGCGGGTTGGTGCCGACGGGGTGCACAGACTTGCGATCATACACGTTTAGTCCAACGTTGTTGCTGCTCTGACCTCTGCTGCCCACCATGTAGCCCCAGAGCCTATAGAGCAACCTTTTGTGCACCGTGGTCACACTATCCAGGCTCTATCCTGGCTTAGATTCTGACAGCTGATGAGATTGAGTGCATTCTGGGCGATTGGGCCAAAAGGCTTTAATTGTTGTTATCATTGGCTTGTTGTTACGTTGAGTCGGCTTAATTTTCAAATAGTCGAAGCATTCTGGTTTTGGGGTTCTAACATCGGCTCGCAATGATCGAAAACGATCTACTCTTCGTGAGCAAATTACCAACTGTGTGGAAGCTGGCTCTGTAGAGAACTGGCGACCCAAGAACATTGTTCTCTCTGAAAGATGATTTTAAAACTATGAAGCCTACTGCAAGTTTATCAGGAGGAAATTAGCAATAACACTATGAGGATAATGCGTGTACTGTATACACTGATTAGGCATCCACAATACAGGTTTTTGTGGGTTAAACGCGTAAATGTGTCGTAAAACCCGCCACCACCCGGACACAGCCAATTAGTAAGGTTTGTCAAGTAAACATAACACTTACAATCCGAGTTTGACGTTTCGCCAGTAATTGCAACGAGCATCATCAGGCAACAGCCAGATTTTCGTGGATTTACTCTGCAACACACCGGTGTGCTGTACTAGTAACGAATTGGCAGGTTCTGTTTACGTGACGAACCTTACTAATTGGCTGTGTCGTGTGGTAGCGGGTTTAACGACACATTTATATTGACGCGATCCAACCCAAAAAAAGCTGCATTATGGATATTGGTCGCAAAAGCCTACGTGATGTTAAACTGTTAAGGCAATTGTGCACACTTAAGCAGCCAGCAGACGTATGGTTTAAACAAAAATGTATTGTAGTTTTGATGCACTTTACAATATTTGATTGTAATTATACACGTAAAGAGCACAACTTGTGCAGCGTTTTCACTGCACCGCGTATATCAATCCAAAACGGCACTTCTCAAATGGAAATTCATGAATCGTCATCGCTTTTAAAACAAAGCAGGCACTCCTTTGTAGAGACAAAGTCGGTGCTTGAGCCATCCTTAGGTTTATAAAAAAAAGTCCGCTACGTGGTGATTTGAAAATAAATTAATTCTTCATCCTTCTTCAGTAGGCGTCGTCAAATTCTTCATCGTCATCGCAACCGTAGTCTGCAAAAAAACACACGAACGCACGCAGATTTGCGATCACAATCCGGCTCATGTTGAATCCATGTTTAGCATCAACCGAGAGAGACCGCCCGAATAAACGAAATATAAAATGACTTTCAGCGATAGGCACTCAATTACATGTAATTTAAATGTCATTTCATTACCTTTGTAATTTATGTCTAAATTACATCACCCGTGTTCCGGAAAAACGTACCTCCATCAAGTAAACCGTGTATAGCCGAAACACGCGTTTCTCCAAACTGCCGACGAACACTCACCAGCCTGTCCCATGAGCGCGAGCGCACTGACGCACGGCTCGTCCTCCTCATCCTCCTCTTCCTCTTCCGCTGCCGCCGCCTCCTCGTCGGCCTGGAACCGAACGGGCCCGCTCTCCACCACCACCGCCACGTGGTCTGGATCCGCGCCTCTTGCCGAAGTCGGACCCGAGGCTTCCGTCAGGGCCAGGGCAGGAACTCCTCCCAGCGCTGGGACGGCCGGTGGTTCTTTGCACACGCTGGCAGTCTTGTGTCGTAAAAAGAAAAACACATCAGATATAGGCAGCGGTGGTGACGAGAAAGTCCTGATTTTGTATACGAGAAGCCAGTGGCTTGAAGGAGGATGCAAACCAAAATAATTGTCATTTTCTTTTTGATAGGTGTTTTAGGAGGAGGATGCGTGTAGTTGTTCTGTCCGATGTGGGTTTTAAGATTCCTGAATGAGAAAACGACTTTCAAATTAATGGTCGCCGCAGTGGTCATGGAAGTGACACCCGTTGAATGCTAGCATGGAGCACCAACTTCAAAATCCTTTTCTCTAAGGATCAAAAAATGTGACAGCCCAGAACATTAGGGTTACTTATCTTGAGTTGTTTATATTCTGGATTAGTGACCTTAACACTACTTCTATATCTACAAGATAACAGCTGTTTGTATTTTGGGTTGAACACTTTACCCCAATTAAAACTGTAGCCCAACTATAACAACCACACGTGTTCTTAATGGAACATTGAGAATTATCAATAAAACCAAATGAGTGTAGAGGTTGGGAAATGCTAATCTGAAGGTTCCTTATACATTCAGGAATACGGCAAAGTATATTAAAAAAGAGCGATGCGTCAACCATTCAGAAAAATTTAAATCACTTACCTTATCCAGGACGAATTTCTTGGCTGACTGAGATGACAATAGAGGCTTTATCCTAAACACAAGACAGCAACATTAATATATGTGCACTGATATAGATATGTTAGCAAAAACACGAAATACTTTTAAGTATAGAAAACAAAAGACATGTTTTGGAGAGCTTGTAATGTGTATGCACTGTGTGTAATGTGTATGGATGCTGTGTGTAATGTGTATGAATATTGTATATAAGTGTACAAGTGTAATTTTACACACGCGTAATGTTTGTGCACACTGTTGTGGGGAGCGGTAGTGTAGCGAATAGCGCGCTGCCCTACGAACCCAGCAAAACGAGTTTGATTCCCGCTCACGGCTAACACCAGTGACGATTATCTGAATCGGTCCAATGTGAATTGGTGCAATGTGTAAACATCGGCACTGAGGCGACAAAGGCAGCCACACGTGGTGCTGGCCACTACCCACCCCCTCACGTGCCGTGCCGGCCTTCATGGGTCCTCGCTAACAGCACTCGGCCTAACAATCTATTAAGATTATACTGGGGGCATCTCTGTCTTATGAGTGTTAACAGCATGCTGCTGGGACTGGTATACATAAAGCTGCCCCTCTACCGCACAGATGTCTAACAACGGGGGGTGGGCGACACAACGACGGGAGGAAGGAGCTATGAGAAATCTCTACGTCATCAGCCTGGACGCGAGGCCGCGATGTTGCTCACCTCTTGCCCAGGGAGTTGATCGAGGTCAGCCTCATGCGGTCCCGGGACTCGGGACGCGGCGATGCCGGTACAGCCGTGGTGGCCGCAGTGTCATCGCGACGCGGCGTCGAAGCACCCGAGCCGCCCCCCTTGTTGTTCAGGTCCTTGAGCACCTCGTAGTTGATCTTGCTGGAGATCCTCTTCTGGGCCAGCATCTTCTCGATGGCCTCTCCTGCCGTGCTGGCCCGGATCGGCTCTCGCCTCTTGCCCGACTTCTTGGGCTGAGGATGCATATGGGCATTCCGTCTCACTTTTAAGATTGGGAAAAATGTAATCAAGAATATAAAATGCATCGCAAATGTCCCTCCAACTCGTGCACTGTGCTCATTCTCCTCTGAGATAGTTATATTTTATATTTGTTATTACACGATTGGGAAAAAACATCTAAAATATATCTCACACGTCCCTCCAACTCTTTGCACTGTACTCATTCTTCTCTACTGCGCCGTACGTCTGGAACTCTCCCCCCCCCCCCACCCCAGTCATGCGTGCTGTCGATTCCCTGCCCTTGTTAAAGTCTGGGGCTCAAAACATTAATTTTTCCTTCTACCTATGACTGACTACCTCTCCCTACACAAAATATACCCATTGCTTCTAGTGTCTTGAGATGAGATGCTGTCCAATGAGGTCACCTATCCCAAAACGACCACCACAAAATTGAAGAAAACCAGTTTTGGTACAACTGTGTGCCAACAAATAGCACCATTCGTATTTTATTGGAAAAAATGAACTTTCGAAAAGCTATAACGATGCACTGATTAATCAATGAATAAAGTCTTAAGCTCATGATACATACATCAATTTGCGTGAGTGAGAATCAGTATTTTTACTTCTTATGTAATGTAGGCCATGGATTCAGGTGGCCACCCTCACACAGCCAGTAGTGTCCGCAGACTGCACTACCAATGTTAAAAACGATCAAATTGTTGAATGGCGACCATGAATCGTGAAAACACACTGAATCACCGGGAAGTATATGAGTGTCATAAGACCCCACCAGAATTACATATATTTTTAAATCCCACCAGAATCTTGCGTGGATCACCTACCTTCTTCTCCTTGTATATGCCAAGTTCCCTTTCTTTGGCTTCTCTGTCAGCTTTTTCTTGAAGGAGTAAAACAGACAAAATGTTACTGCACTGATCTAAAACGGCTTCCTTATATGTTAAAGTGCTTATTTTACAAATCCTCTGCAGACACCCTTCAAGATTCACGTGAGAAAAAATGTATACCTTGTTGTTCCTGGAGAAATGCTGCATTCTCTTTCATCCAGAGTTCTGTTTTGATGTCAATTTCTTGCTTGCTTAAAAGGTACTGCAAAAAAACGATACATTACACCCGTCTGAAAAATCTTTACGGTATAAATAGAAAATACATTTGTATTCAAGGTGAAATTAGACATCATCCAATCAGAAAGATTTAAGCTCACAATAATTGCATCAAATAAGATAAAGTTTTCATGTTTTATACAATACACATAACCCATGCAACCACTAGAGGTCACCACAGTCGCCACAATAAAATTATTGCAACCCAGAATTGTAATAATTAACTCGAATCGCCAGGAGGTAAATTGCAACATTCCTGACCTAACCCATCCCTAATCAACAGGTTTACATCTAGTCTGTAGACCAATCATTGTCCAGTATACACGCTCATCATCAATGCCTGCTTCGATTGGGGAAGGGGGAACTGTCATTCTATTTCATTGCTTACCCGCGTTGTCCAAGTCGCTCAAGGTCAACGCATTGCCGGCAACAATTACCTTGAAATTGTGGAGTAGATCTTGGCCTTTCCATCTCTATGACAATATTAACAGTGCGAGGTGTATTGTTGGTGCAGTGGTCAGTTCATTCCTAGCGAATTCCATTCCTGGCAATGGCTAACATCAGGGGAGGTATCTGGAACTTTCACAGCCACACTGACCAGCATGGTGAAGTATGGTCACGCAACCTTCATAAGCAACATAGCATGGGAATGCTTTCATCTATTGATAGTTTAACAAAGAGCTGTCATTTATTTTTACTAAAATTGTGGGGTAAATGTGATCATTGTATACAGCTTACACTATTTAGAATGGATTAAAAGCCAAACAAATAAAACATCTTCAGTGCTGGTGTACTTTCTCTGGCTGCATGCTCATTCTTAACAAAACAGAACTGCTGTTCATTCACTATCCTCATACAACCTGAATGAACACACTTCCTATTCCCAGGGATGACGGTCATGTTAAAACCTTATGGTATTGTTTATTTTTGCAGCAGGCGATCCTTCCGCTATCTACAAGGCTGCACTTTTAAGGTACAGAATTTCAGGCCAGCGACACTCACAGCTTCAATTTCCAAGTCATCAATGTCGGTGAGGTCCAAGTCCCCATCTTCCTCCTCCGCAACTGCACGTGCAAAAATAACAACAGAATCAATCTGCTCTGTTGTCCTTTTGCAAGCGGTGAACACTTTTATATATTTGAAATATATGAAAGTTGTACAAATTGTACTGTTGTTGCATGCTGCGTGACTAAACCGAATAAGCATTTAAAAACATGATTTTGACAAATTTATGGTCGCAGTGACACAGTGGTTGGTGCACCGCGCAATGAACTCGGCCACTCATGTTCGATGTCTGGCCACAGTTAACATCAATGGGGAGTGATATCTGAACCGGTCCTGGGTGCCACCTTCACCAACCCTCACTGACGGGCACTGTAAAATAGTCAAATAACTCCCCATGGAGTGGGGAGCTTTTCATCCAACAGCAGATTGACAAAGGTCTAAACATAATTATTATATTAAAACGCTTAAATTAGCAATAACTGATCATTTGCAAAACGATAGATATCATTCTCATTGACCTCATATACATAAAGAAAAATCCAGCCATTTTTAATCCACCAATGGTCTGCTTACAGCAAGTCGTTCAGATAAGCTTTTTGAGCCTACTTCACTTCACTGGTCAGTACGGGTTTCTGACTGGGTAAGTATGGATTTATGAATGGGTAAAGGGCAGGACCAATTCTGATATCACTTGCCACTGATGTTAACCATGACTGGGAACTGAACCAGATCGCCAGGTTCATAGCACAGCACGCTAACCACTGCACCGCCCCCCATTGACCTTGTGTCACACAACACACCTTAGGATCCCACCACACCCACCACGGCAACCCTGGTGTAGGCAAGCGGTTCAGAGTGTCACCTACGTGGCTCTGCCTCATTGATGGCCATGCACTCCTCGATGGACTCCTTGAGGCCCAGGCTGGCAGCGGTGGGCAAGGGCCCCAGCACCGCACGCAGGCTGTTGTCCACCTCCAGGCCGGGCGAGCGCCACAGCGCGGGGCTGCGCGGTGGACACGGCGAATCTCCCAGCGGCTCCGAGGGCTCGCGGTCGCTGCTTATCTCCGACTCGATGTCGTCCGTGCCCAGCGGCAGGTTGGCGTCCATCAGCATGAGATCGTCCTCGTCCTGGCCGTCGCCCTCTTTGTCCTCCTCGAGGTCAGGCATCAAGTCGTCCTTGCTGTCGCTGCACACTGGCAGGAGAATCGCGATAGGTATTTGGAGGTTGAGGACAGGATTTTTACCGTTGAAATTCATGATTTGCACATCGCTATGGGTTAATAATCAAAATATTTACACTGGAGGAATCCGATGAGCTATAAAGCTCTCTTTAACAGATGTCCAGTGGGGGCGGGTAAGATCAATACATCAAACAGTACAAAAACATGATAGTCGTCCAAAGTACAAGAAAGATAAACAAATCACCCAAACACATACAAATAAAACTAAACCATATCCATACTACCAGGCAAAGCCCACTGAGGTATTAACTTATTTTTCAGATGCAACCTGGCCATTATGGCCGGGGGGGGGGGGGGGGGGCAGAAAATTACTGAGTTGAAGCCAAAGGAGGGGAAACGCCCATGAGAGATGTCTGTCACAGAGATGGAGGGATGAGATTGGCTCGATTGCAGTCGATGGGTGGACTGTTGCATCGTGGGACTGAGGGATGGGCGATGGCTTGGGGAGGCCTTCATCCAGCACTAGACAGATCACGGTTGATGATGATGATGACGAAAGGCAATTAATGCCTATCAAGTTCAAATTTATTTTTTTAACTAGTTGAGAACTGAAGACTCCAAAATAATCTAATTTACAAGAGTGACCAAATCACACGGAAATGTGTCAATCTCATGAGATCTCAAAATTTAAGCTTGGATAGACCTTGAATGGGTTACCACCATGTATAAAACAGACGTTGTAGCCTGCTGTGAAGCTACTCACTGGGAAGCAGAAGACAATGCTGCACAATAAATTAGTGTAGTCCAATGCACCCACATCCATGCTCCCGGCCTTCACCAACCCACACGAACCAACGTGGTGAAATAGTAAAATAACCATCGAGACCCGTATGGCATACATATTATGTTTTTGTACTGTTTGTTGTTGTAACGTTTTTACCAGCCTCTACTGGACATCTGTGAAAAATAACTTTACAGCTCATCGGAGTCCTCCAGTATAAATATTCTGATTCTGATATATGTACATATGTTGAACTTCTATCGCACCGTACATAGCCAACCGTGTTAATCGGAGGTGCGTGATGGGGAAATGTCCTCATCCAGCCATGGATTGACAAAAGGGGCTGTACATGTACAGAGTGAAAGTAACAAGTCAAGGAGTCTGCTCATTCCAACACCAGGTCAGACAGCTGTACCTTCCTTGAGCAAGCTGGCATAAAGTCCCCTCAGCTTGGGCCTTCGTGACTCAAGCTCGGTCTCAATCTCCTGCTGGAAAGAGCTGATCTCCTCTGTGAGTAAAGTCACACACACACGATTAATGGTGTATGAATGTATGTATTTGATTTATTCTTTAAATATGTATTGTATAAAACCGAAAACAAAGTTAAGATAGTTGAAGGGTACGATGAATCGGATAAGGCCCCACCTTCATATTCATCGAGTTCTTGCTTTGATACTTCCAGGTCCATCTTTAAAAGTACAGGGCTCAAAAATGTTAGTAATTTATACTCTTTGGTTCTTTCGGTAAAGTCACGTAGGTATAAAATAAATCATGACGTTTCGGGCGCAACACAAGCGTTCATCATCAGGTGGGAAAGCGTGGTCTGCTGCTGAGGCAGCTGAGGCAGCTGAGGCAGCCTGGTCTGCTGCTGAAGCAGGCTGGCATAGGCAGTCTGCCTCAGCAGCAGGCCATGCTTTCCCACCTGATGACAGACGCTTGTGTTGTGCCCGAAACGTCGTGATTTATTTTTCTACATACGTGACTTTACCGAAAGAACCAAAGAGTATGGATTCCTGCAGTCACAAAAGCTTCAAATCAAGATTGTTAGTAATTTTTTACACTAATTATAAAAAAGACTAAATAAGCAGATGTACGCAGAAGGAATAACCGAGAGCAACTTGACAGTTAACCTCCAAGATGCAACAATGAGTAATGATTAATTATCGTGATATTTGCATCGTCTTGCATATGCAATAATATTTGTTGCAATCATTTACGTGATATCTGCAGCCACTCAAGGCGTTAACATTCACTACAATATTTAAACAAATCATTCTTGAATTTAATCACGGTCACGAAATAGGACAATTCATCAAATCGCCGAGCGGGTGAATCGTTACCCCACAACAGAGAAGCAAACACTTTAATATTTGACGTTTTCAAAAGTTCATGAGATTACTACACACGGTGTTTAAAGTTTCATCTACAGGCGAAACTCTTTTTTTTTACTATACCAGTCTGCCAACAAAGCAAAACACCCCAAGATTAATTTACGATTAGCCACAGACATTTCAGCCGAGCAAGAGCAAGCAAGTAGAATCCTGCATCGAGTTGGGTACCCCGTGGGTGGGAACCGAGAGGTACAAAAGTGGGTCACACAACTAAGTCTTATTTACGGCTTGCCGTTCGGGTGCCTGCCGGGTCACGTCTACCGTGTGAAGCAGTAAAAAAAAAACGACTCCGTTCCGACTCGCTCTGCGGGTACCCGCGGGTACCCGACGCGATGCAGGACTCTACATGCAAGCAGCAGCGTGCACTTGGTGCGACGCGTAACAGCCCTCGGGTCGGTTTTATCCGCAAGTGAAGATTTACTGCAAGTGGCGACCATAGCAGCCCTGCTCTCCCGGCACGTCCGGGGCAAGGCTGGGTGGAGAGGTGGCCATACCTGCTGCACTTTGGCCTTGCGTTTGCCGCTGATGAACGAGGGTGGGTCGCACTCCGCCTCCAGGTCAATGCGCATGAACTCATCGATCGTCAGCTGGCTTGTGGGCGTATCCTCAAACTCCGTGAGCCTGCAGCGCAGGGTAACGACGAGGGCTTAATATCTCAGTAGGGTCCGAGTCATTGACTCAGAAAAAAAAACACATGTCCCTGCACTCAGCACACCACATCCTCAATTCCTTCCACTTTGGTGACTACAGTAACAGCAGCAGCCACCAATCAATACCAAGTGGCGGTATCTTCTTCCAAGCTGGGTATGCACTGAGATCATGTGGTATGATAAAGCTCTTTGGCAGGAGACAGGACAAACTGGGTGATGTTACAAGAAAAAAGGTGTAGATTTTGGGTCGTGTCTACAACACATGGAATACACGGAAATATACCGTATATTAACAGGATTTATCACAACTAAAAAGAACAAATTATATACGAGCTGTATAATACTAGAAAATGCTACTCTGTGTTTATTCTCACATCCGATGAGCAAATGTTACGGGTCAGAAAAGTAAGTGCCTGACATTGAGTCGGTTTGCCAAGCCAATGCAAAGTTCAACCGAGGGGCAAAGCTTTGGGGTCACTGGCAAACATTTTACAACGGACAAGAGCAAATAATGTTAATAAGCAAAGTTTACCTTTTCCTTAAGGTCGACTCGCACACTTTCACCACTCGAATTACTTCCTTTACGGTCCGTCTAAAGTCATGCATGCGTGATGCGACCAGCAATGCTGCAAAAGCAAAATGCAAATCAAATAATAAATTCATAGATAAGCAGATCAGTGCATTGAACCTGCTATGATATCTAGATCAGAAATGTGGACATTAAAGATGGAACAAAAACTCAAAAGTGTACATGTTTGGAATCACACTAAAAAACAGAAACACATGGATGATAAAAAACACACACGTCATATCACATTGCCTGTTAAGCGGGATGGGCCAGGTACATCACGATAAAGGATGATGGCCTGTGGTTGAGACTAATAACGGAGTGGCAGCCAAGGAAGGGAATATGCCTGACAGGACATCCACTGGGCAGATGGATCGATGAAAACAGCCCACGTGCAAGCGCTAGGTGGAATATCACGTAGCAGGATCATGACAGCAACAACTTGGGAGGCCTTTATCCAGCAGTGGACTGATCGTGGCTGATGAGCATAGATCAAATATCAAAAACAGGCAATCATAAATGTATCATTGTTATTCCTTTGCTTGCATGGTGCCTGCAATGCGGCAGGCGCAGTATCGGACGACAAGGACTGAGAGGCGATACCAGCTCCGCAGAGGCCCGAGGGGCGGCGTCCCGTGTGCATCCAGTCGCGCTTCATTCGCGCGACCAGGCGCATGGCCGTCATGGACACCTCGTGCGTCTTGTCTCCAAACTCCAGCATGTGGGCAAACCGCGGAATGTACAGGCAAGGGTCTGCAAGTACGCACGCACGCACGCACACACACACACCCTCGTCAGCACGGAGCGTGCACTGTTTATTGCAGTGCAGCACGTACTCGTAATAAGTGTGGGTATATACCGTGTCCCCCATATACTGGGGCTTTCAGGAGCACTATCAAATATTTGAAAAACGATTGCAAGAATTGTTTTTATTGAAGAGTATGCAAAGTAATGATAACTTTTTAGCTGCGTCTCCACGCTGCAATAAAAAAAAATCACATGCCAGTCAGTCAAGAGTTTAATACTGCAGAGAAACTACTGTAGAATTGAAATGTGTGTTCTCGAATTATTCCGTGTTTTTTGGTGGTTTTAGTGGTAGTATTTAATATATATAAACCAGCATAAATACCATTACAACTTGGAATTAGATAAGAAAAATGTATCCGAATGAAAATAAGGGTTTTGGTAAAAAAAGTGATATACTGGGGCACCCCACCCCCGAATTAGTCTGCTTTTTATTAATACACTTACTTCTAGATTTGAAGCTTTCGTGACTGCAAGGATTCACTCTTTGTTTTTTTCGGTAAAGTCACGTAGGTAAAATAAAAACAACTAAATTAAATCACGACGTTTCGGAGGCAACACAAGCTTCCGTCTTCAGGTGGAACAATCACAGCAGAATATCTGTGTCAAGTGAACAGCTCTGAGACGGCCGGGATTATATACAGGTTAAGGGGGGGGGGGGAGGAGCCAAGAAGGGACGTGGGTGGGGGGGGAGGGCTCAGTTAAGCCGCCTTTTGTTATGCTGCAGGGGGTTCAGGGGGAGAGAGTCACGAGTACACGCAACCCACTGAAAGCAATGGCAATGGCTGTACAATTATAAGGCAGCTAACGTTTGACTTGGTTTATAACGTCTTTCCAATGGTTGCTCAATTTGAAACCATCCTCTCGGTTGAAGTTGTGTCTGTGTTTGTATATCTAGATGGCTCCATGGACAAATCTCTGGTAATAACCGGGAGGTTTGCAGAGAACTTTGGTATCAGAGAAGACAATGTCATGAGAACCCGCTGTGTTGAAACAATGACCAGCCACGGCCGAAGAATTCGTTCTGCCGTGTTTCAATACAGTACACAAAATCCGTGATCTGATCCCATCCGTAAAGGATGTCATTCCTGACTTACAGTACCCCGGTGTTTACAAATTGAGTTGTACCTGCGGTGACTGCTATATCGGGGAGACGAAACGACATATTTCTGACCGAATCCGCGAGCACAAATCAGATTTGAAACACGACAGAACGAATTCTTCGGCCGTGGCTGATCATTGTTTCAACACAGCGGGTTCTCATGACATTGTCTTCTCTGATACCAAAGTTCTCTGCAAACCTCCCGGTTATTACCAGAGATTTGTCCATGAAGCCATCCAGATATACAAACAGACACAACTTCAACCGAGAGGATGGTTTCAAATTGAGCAACCATTGGAAAGATGTTATAAATCAAGTCAAACGTTAGCTGCCTTATAATTGTACAACCATTGCTCTCAGTGGGTTGTATGTACTTGTGCATCTCTTCCCCCGAACCCCCTACAGCATCAACCATTGAAAAGATGTTATAAACCAAGTCAAAGTTTGGCTGCCTTATAATTGTGCAGCCATTTCCATTGCTTTTAGTGGGTTGCATGTACTCGTGAATCTCTCCCCCTGAACCCCCTGCAGCATAACAAAAGGGTGTATTACCCGTTTTCGTGCAGTGCACCACCGCTACCCCTGAACCCCCTGCAGCATAACAAAAGGCGGCTTAACTGAGCCCTCCCCCCCACCCACGTCCCTTCTTGGCTCCTCCCCCCCCTTAACCTGTACATAATCCCGGCCGTCTCAGAGCTGTCCACTTGATACAGATATTCTGCTGTGACTGTTCCACCTGAAGACGGAAGCTTGTGTTGCCTCTGAAACGTCGTGATTTAATTTAGTTGTTTTATTTTATTTTATTTAACCTACGTGACTTTACCGAAAACACCAAAGAGTATAATACACTTACGTTCAGTGTTTATCCAACTTTAGTAGTTTTGACCCCTAACGGTGCAACATCCTACGATCACAATCTGGTGCTTGATTTACATATTAAGAATATCAGCAAAAACGAACAGCTGCACTGTGGAGGGCCTTACAAGGACCGGAGTCTGGGAAACACTGCAGTCGTATATTTAGAGTCAATCTGTGCAAGAGGATCACAATATTTCCGGCATTACACGGTGCAGCCACCGAGTGTACAGGCAGCGGTTCTGCCGCAGGGACCACGAGCCACTGAAGACCAGGCACTTGGGGTACAAAGATAAGGGAAAGAGCACAGGGCGAACCATTTCATTCCTTGCGCCAGGGACGATGCCAACAATGCTACGCCACTGCATAGTCGCCACCCACAATGGTAAGTGCAAAGGTAATTACAGGCGATATTAGGGAAAGATGTATTCATCAATAATAATATGTATACAATAACAGCCATACCTATCGCCGGGGCATTGATGCACAGGGATCTTGCCAAAAGAAGGAATGTTTTTCCAAGGACATAAACATTTACCTGAAGCACAAAAACAAAATTGAAAATTATTACATTTACATCAAGCACTGTTACAGGTTACATTTTATGAAAACACAATGCAATCGATAAAAATGATTGGGACTTACTTGTAAGAGGTCACTGAAATCCAGCAACATATCTGAAAGTTACATGAATTAAAGAAACATTTCGGGGAAAAATGTGTGTGGTGCATCAAAGTAGACTTTGCTAAAACATTAAACTCTTGCTGGGTGTCAATTATTGGGCTCAATATAAAACTGAAAAAGGCCGTGAGCAGAACTTAATTCAAACTTACTATTTCCAGCAGTCATAACTATATTTCTATGTATAAAAACATGGATGCTTACAACTTTTTACCGACTACAAAACTGCCAATGATTTAATAACCTAATGCAAGTCTGTTCAGAAAAAATACTCCCCTTGTTCCAGCTCCTTTATTATTTTCATGCACTATGTTGTGAACCAGGCAACCCCAACTGAAATTGCGGCTATGGCTAATACCAGTGGTGATACCTGTAAAAGGTTTATCCTCATCACTAAACCACAATGGCCAGGATGGTGAAGTATCGTCAAACAACCCCCTTTGACCAATACGGCATGCAGAGGCATTCATCCAGCAGGGGATTGACAAAAGGGCTGTAAAAAAAATCACGCTTGTGATTTTCCACCAGTCCATCATCTACACCATTGCTGTGCAAAATGAATATCTGCGAAAACCAGAATAATTGAAATATAAACAATGCTCATTGGCGTGCAGCTGCTGTCCAGGATACGTGGTGTGCTCTCTGTGCGGCACACCAGATACAAGCAAGCTGCCACCACGTGGGTCATCTTGCGACCACGCGTAAGCCGCTTGCTCACTGCCATCTTGAAGAAGTTGAATGCCGTGTCCAGGCAATGTTGATTCAGCTGCAGCTGGCTACCCAGCTGGGTTATGTGCCTCCGACCTGTTCAACAGTTTATTCATTACACTACATTAGTCATATATTCTGAATTTAGCAATGTTTCAAGCAATGACACATTCAAAAAAGTTTGCATGTCTCTAGCACACCTTTGTACCCACAGATACCATATGCCAGTTACACAATGGGTGGTATTCATAACTATAAAATAATAAAGTCCAAACCAAATAAGTAAAACCGCTTAAGAATGTATTTATATCGTCAGCTTTAAATGCCAAACTAGTATGCTATAAATAAAAAAAGTCTTACATCAGAATCTATTTAACATCAGTTCCAATCTTAATTACCCTTGAGATATTATCACAAAAATTGATGCCTTGGCACAAATCCACAACAGTTTTTGAACATACACAATCAGTTTTGCACATCTTTGCGATTTGCATATGTAAGATTAATGACCATGTTAGACACGTGCAACATACAAAGCAAATACCCTATCCAACAATAATAAAATTCAGGGTTTGTTAATACATTACACAATAAAAGCAAATTTGCACAAGGGTGTCAAGCTGGGTGGGGAGCTCACCATTCTGTAGCGTAAGTGCACGAGACTCTTTTCCAAGGCCAGTGTAGAGGCCCGTGCCAAATGAGGGTGCTTTGCCTGGACCTACAAAGCAAAGCGGCACGGTTAAAACATGCACCCAGGGTCAATAAAATATCTGCTGGGTTCACTTTCATCACAAGAGTTAAAAAAATGGTATCCCTTGCAACTCAAACAGTGTATATTGTGCAATGATCTCATCAAAATTTTGGTTTTGTTTTGTTGGGTGCACAGTTTTATATTTTGTATATTGACATGAGGACATTTACACCCAATAGGGTGATCCACTCATAAATACTCCACTAAACGATTCTAACAGTCGGCAACCGGTAACCGCTTCCAGTGAAATATTAGTACAGTAATGCACCGATTTGCACGCTTGAAACTACAAGCTATGAATCCGTTAAAAGCTAAAAGTGAAGCCCTGCTATTGCCTGCTCGTGAAACTGCTGGAGCGGATCTCTGGAGGGTATATGGTCTACTCTTCCTCACTGACCAGACGTATTAGGAGGCTGAATACCCATACTTTACCCCACCACACGCAACCTGCCAGTCAACTGCGGTGTACTCATACTGTTGGATGGACAGAGGCAGCGGAAGGATTTTAAAACGTTTTTACATATTAATTCAACTGCCGCGATGAGATAGATAAGAACCGGCCACCTCTGCATTACAAGTTCAGTGTGCTAACCATTACACCAGGGCAGATCCCTACCTTATCTGTTAAAACAGGAAAGTTGTTTATTGCGAGAAATGTCTATATGTGGGGCTACTGGTTTTACTGGGTTTTTTTTCTTAATACAAAGGGTTTGACAAACCTGGTCATTATTACGGAAAGAAATGTTTTATGTCAAAGCCACTACACACAAATTTAAGAACAGTTATGAAATCTACTCTGTCAGACACCGACCCATTGCTGTCACAATATTCAATCAGTTGACAAGATGGTCATTAGAGATCGATAAGATATCTATTGGGGTTTTTTTCAGAAAGGTTTTGCATTTGTGACTTTTGGTTTTATTTGAGATTAAACTAAAAAAATGTTTTTACCAGGAAAGGCCACGGAGCTATATATATTTTTCAGAAGCGACCTGACCATACATAACGCTTTGTTTTATAGTTTTATTATTTTATTGTTTCCTTTCTACGTGACTTTACCGAAAGAACCAAGAATATGAATCCCTGCAGTCACGAAAGCTTTAAATAAAAATGCATACATCATAACTCAACGAAGTGGTTTACAAAGTGGACATTTCAGATAACTACTCTCTAAAAGGTGGATGGAAACCCCGGAGGACCCAGAGAAAAACGCACGCGACCACGGGGAGAACACGCAAACTCCAAATATACAGCGGCAGCAGGCGTCAGGGTCGGGAACGAACCCACGACCTCCTGTATACACAGGCGAGCTAATTAACATCTCCTAGCCACCGCGGCGCCCAAGGCAAGGTGCCTCCTCCTGTGCGAACGAGCATTGGAACGATACTCTTGCATTCGTGAAACTTGTTATGCCACACGACAATATCTCGTTAGCATAACACGTTATCTAACCGAGATGCATTTTCTTGTGCTACTCCCATCCACGCTGCCCGCTGCTGAAGTTTGACGGTGCCATCACACAGCCCTCCCGTGATGTATGTGATTGAAGGCGAAATGGTAAAACACACGCAGTTAAAGCTGGAGTTGCAAACCTTCCGATGAGACGAACTGCCCGACGACTGACGACGCTCCGCCACCGCCCTCCTGGAATTGTACCTCGGACACGATGATGTTGTCCTCAAGCACCGAGCCACACGCCGTGCAGACAGCATCTCCGCGAGCAGAGTCTGTCTCGATGTCACTGCAGCCGCAGTTCTGGCAAACCTTGCCTCCGGCCATAACACAGGCGAGATGTCCCGGAGGCCGAAGGAGGCACTGCCGCCACCAGTATAACACGGGGATCACCACCCACGAAACGAACCACAACTACCCCTGCCGCCGGCTCCAACAACTAAACCATACCATTTAAACAACAACTACAAGAGCCACCACAACTAATACCACCAGAAGCACAACTACCACCAATCCCACTCGAGTTCCTACCTAAACTTCCACCATAACTACCATTTAAACCATCTGCACTACTTCCAAAACTGCATCTAAAGCACCATCAACAAGACCGCTTTATTACCACTTAAATATCCATAGAGCAACACAAACAAAACTACCACTCGAACACCCCACACACGTGATACCAAAATCCACCAGACCACAAACCACCACCACTAAACCACCACCACCTCTAGAACCATTAGTTACACAACGCTAACTGCCACTAAAAGCTGAATAACCCAACGATCACCTCTTTAAAAAAACACCTAAACCACCACAACCATCAAATCAAATCTACAACTTATGAGAAAAGCCCATTATAACGGAATAACAATGCCGTTCCATTCGTTTAAAAATAGACCAACCACACGGTAGGCCGCGAGTCCCAATCCTAGCCTTTGTTTCCTGACGGCCCTGCCCCGGAATCGGGCTGCCAAAGTCCACCGGCGGAGTAAGACCACGCGGTGTCCCCCCCCCCCCACTAACCGCGAGTCCGAGAAGGGGTTGCTTTCTCTTTCGCCGCTCATCTATTGCATTAATGTTTGGTCAATGCGAGGCAGTGTAGCCGCATCCACGGTTAATTACGAATAATTGTCGTGATAATTAAGCCATTGTCTCTCTTTCTACTGCTGCTGTGAACAAGGCCTCGAGCCGGTCCCATTGAAGTCAGATGGAGTTGTAGATTGAACTTCCGATTCCAAACTACCATTCGATTCCTACGTACACTGCACGGGTCGAATAGTCTAATCGAATCGCTAATTTCGATTCCTAATGAACTGTGAATTCATTGCAATGTGGAATCGAAATTATGTGTCTAATTTACATAGGAATCGATCCTTGTCGAGTGGACTTGGGGAAATGGAACCAATCCCTAACAGCTCAATCCACTGGAACCTTGAATCTTCAATTATCATCCATGATCCATCCACTGCTGGATGAAGGCCACCTCATCGTACCAATGAAGAAAAAATTACAGATTACATAGCGACCTGCATATTACCTGCATTTACAGGAAAAAAATAGAATAGGTTCGGGCCATGACCCTTCTTCATAGCACATTTAAACTGAAGAAGAGCCGTTGACTGAAACGTCGCCTATACAATTTTTCTTTCAAGACCCACAGATATTGACGAAATGTCCGAGGCTTCGTCGGTTCGAATTAACACCCGTCAGGGACAAAAAATCTTCGATTAGAATCTGTAATTCACCGACTCTCATAGCAATTGGCGAATCACTTCTAGCTTAATCGCCACTTGTTGCCCTTCAATGGCACGGTGAAGTCATCATCAGCAGGGTGGGGGGGGGGTACCCAGACACTAGGGGGCGACAGTGCTGTAGCTCTGCAGTCTATCGCTCTGCAATCAAACGTGCATGCACGTACGCAGTGGGGCGTTACGAATAATGTAATAGCATCATGACTCAGGGTACGAGCCCTACTAATGGTGAAACTAATCATAGCGGTCGTCATCTAGGACAACAGCAGGGATTAACCAAAATGATGATGCAATGCAAAATAGAAAGTAATAATGCAATTAATAATTTAGCTGTCGACCAAATCACCCTGTGCAAACCTCAAACAGCGTTGGCATGTGTTTGGAAAAGTTGGGTCAATGTTCCATTTTTACTGGGCTTGAATATTGCCAGATATTGGAAACAAAGCAGGCTTTGGGACGGCATAGATTGGAGACTGCCTGGGAATACCAAATATTGCAGGCTTGGGCCGCGAGATGGCCAGGCGATGGTAGCCCGCAGGGCAATTTACTCAAATCTTTCGTGTGGAGCTGTTGGGTGTGTGGCAGGTTCGCCAGTTGCCTCCCACAGTTCAAAACTTTCATTGGTGGAATTAGCTAAACATACCAATGCAGGACCCTCCTGAAGAAAAGAGTCCTGACACGTGGTGAGGATTTATTTTGTTAATAATGGACATATATTATTATTATTAATTCAGATTTGTAAAGCTGAATGTTGTGGTAATGGGGTTGAGCGCATCATGACAATTATAATACATATCCAAGTCAAAGATTTTCTAAAGAGTTTAGTGAACGAGAAAGAGGGGATTTTTTTAAGATAGCACATTCTATGCAACCACACTCAGCCTTTATCAGAAAGCATATGTACCTTGAGCACAAGGTATACATCACTAAAGTAATGGAAACAATTATTTGTAGTATATTCTTGGTTCTTTCGGTAAAGTCACGTAGAAGGGAAACAAAATAATAAAAATATAAAACAATAAAAAATTTAAAATTATATTTTTATTATTTTGTTTCCCTTCTATTTCTACCTACGTGACTTTACCGAAAGAACCAAGAATATGAATCCCTGCAGTCACGAAAGCTTTAAATAAAAATTTAACAATTATTCGTAGTTTTTTCTTGGAAACTCAGAATAAGGATGGGACGTGACAACCATAAGTACCTCTCTGTATGTTTGTCTATGCTAAAGTAAGGTGGCACTTAAAAAATCAATTGGTTTGCGATGCGGATAATCGTAATATTCTAAAGAAATCTACAGCTCTTTGCCAACCCACCGTTGGGGGGGGGGGGGTTGTTTGACCATACTTCGCCATGCCAGCCAGTGCGGATTAGTGAGGGAGGGGTCTAGCTGGACGGTGCAGTTAACACCATGATGTTATACCGTGGCTAAATAATCTATTTACTGTAATGTTGAACGGTCCATTGTATAGTGCGAGAAAAATTTGCCAAGGCTGTACCCCAGTCACATAAGCGGAGACAAACATGTGAACAATTAAGAGGAGGGTCGGGGTGGGAGTTCCATACATGAAGAGCAGTGTATGATAATGATCTTTACTCAGAGTGAATTCAGACAACGGTTGCTATATAGCAGTGCCACACTACTCTGATGATCCCCAAAAAGTATGACGCCGATGTACAAATACCATTCATAGTTCAGAACGAAACTGAGCTCACGCCAGTAACGCTGTAATATTTGTCAGTATTACGTGGCAAGGCTGCTAATTAAATTCGATCCTGGCCTAGACGCTTGAAATGCTTTATTTTTGGTGCAAGAGTGGCCACCTCCTCTCGCAAATGAAAGAAGCCCGCCGTGCCTGCATATACTCCTCCGCACTTTTCAAATGAGCGGGAGTTGTTTGCGGTGGCCAGCTGCTGTGGTTGGAAATTACTGCCTGCCCTCTGCCCCCCCAGGGGTAAAGACCGTCTCGTTATAGGACGGCAGTCACATCGGGCACGAGATTTTTTCCACGGGGCCAAGTGGCTTGGGCACGCACACTAAACGGGAGAGAAACTCCAAACCAACATCGGATATAACAACAGAGACTCCACCGAGCCGATAGCCCTTCCTAGAGATGGTGTTACCACAAATAACATAACTGTCAGGCCACAACGCCACAAGAGTCTCAGCGGGGCGGCAGTGGTGTAACGACATCATTTGAGAATGTTTCGGGAGCCGCCTTTGACTCTGGGTTGATGGACATAAATTATCTGATGTTACAAGCCAGAGACATGTGTTGTGATGGTTAGGATGTTAAAAAAGAACAGTGCCAGCTCGTTTACATGAAAAAATGTCCTTATAAGCACGCACCACATATAATCTATCATACGGGGCCTTTAAGGTTTTACGCGTAAATCATTATGGCAAGAGTAAGGCTTTCACGCCATGCAGTGTGGGCTTATGCACAATGACAGCCTTGATTTGGCTAAGTCAGAGTTAATTATTTATACTGAGTTAAACAACATGCTTGTGATTGAAAGCCAAAGATATAATGCAATTACAGTATTAACTATTATAATCAAGCCGGGAGAGTGGTGGTACAGTGGCTTGTGCATTGGGCTATGAACCCAGCAATATGAGTTTAAATTCCAGCCACGGCAACAGAAAAATATCAGTGAAGGATATATGGAACTGACCCTGGTCCCACCCTTCACCAACCCACAATGACCAGAGTTGGAAGGACTTGGTCGAACAGAATATTAACAAAGGACTGTACATGTATCAAGCTACAATTATGATATTAAGGATTAAACATATTTGTTTGCATTAATTTCAATACTCTTTGGTTCTTTCGGTAAAATCACGTAGGTAGATATAGAATAAAATAAATCACGACGTTTCGATCACAACACAAGCGACCGCCATCAGGCTTGTGTTGCGATCGAAACGTCGTGATGTATTTTATTTTATTTCTACCTACGTTACTTTACCGAAAGAACCAAAGAGTATGGATTCCTGCAGTCACGAAAGCTTCAAATCAAGATTAATTTCAATATTGGCATTAAATTAACATCTGATTTTAATTATCTTCAAACTGTATGCATTTCTCATTTTGACCGATTAGAAAAGTCAATCACACTATAGACATGAACTCATCGATATAATAAGTAACTAATCTGTCGAAAAAAATGTAAACTAATGTAGTTATTTTATTTTTCACGTAAAGCTCATTGAGCTCATTGAGCTGTTAGCTGTTTTTCAAGGGCGACCTGGACAAACATCGAAGTGGCTTATCATTTGTGGAATGTATAGTAGTCAAGTAATGTAGACTCGAGAGAACTTCTCATAATTTAGGGTCAGCTGAGTGTATGACAGATAGCGTGGTGGGCGTCAGATGAGTTGGTGACGGTCAGGAGGGTGATTGGCGTCAGATCATCCCATCCATAAGACGGGCTGCCCTCACGTATTCCATACTCGACTACCCTGTGCGTGTATTTTTGCAGCGGTAGTGTAGCGGTGAGCACGTTGTGCTCCGGACCCGGTTACCCGAGTTCGATACCCGCTCACGGCCAACACCAGTGACGATTATCTGAACCGGTCCTGGGCCTCCACTAGGTTGACTCAGCCTCAAACGAGTACCTGGTGTGGTGTGTAAAACATTGCCGCTAGGGAGACAAAGGCGGCCAAGCGTGCTGTTGGCCACCCACCCCCTCGTGTGCCGTACCGGTGCTTACTAACAGAAATTGCCCCAAAAGTACGTTCAGGCTATACGGGGGATCTTTGTCTTGCAGCCGTTATCCCAGTAAACATGCAACATTGGGTCAACGTTGGTCCAACGGTTCCAACATTTATACCAACGTTGGGACAATGTTGTACGTTTATTGGAATGGGCCCCTTTCGAAACACGGCCTGCACAATGCCATCATGTCTTCATCCTTTACCTTAAAGGCCATCGTATCGGCAATAAAAATATATTTTATGACGCCACTGGGAATTCTATCCCTGGCAAAAGCCAAACGCACTTCAATTAGGAGATTTTCCATCAGACAGCAAGACACTAAACATAAAACAGTGCAAAGGCTTGGTAGTAGCGTTAATGGCACAGTACAGCCCTGCTGCTGGGGTCACCATCTCCCCTGGTGTTCCCAACATTGTCCTCTTTTTTGAGATAGCTGCCTTACTGGGAAATCTACAACTCTTCCTGGGACGTTAAAACTCCTGTTTTCTGTCGGCTGAGCACGAATAATGCACCGGTCAAGACGATGCATTTGCATATTGGTCTCCCCTCTCCTGGTATTGTGAGATCTTCTTCCGTCACACGTCTCAGTTTTTGTTTACACCTCAGAGGTGGCAACCCTAGCCGCTGCGCATGCACACTGCCGCTCATCACACACGTGGAATAAGCGCGGCTGACATCCAGAGGTCGCAGCCTTTAAAGAAACTTAAAGAATGCCGCCCGAGGGTGGAGAGGCATATACGCCTCACTTGTGTGACCCAACAAAGACAAAGATCGCCCATATAGCCTTTAACAGGCT